TTGCAGGGAATTGTGCAAGCACTATTGTAGTCTGGGGCTACCAAAGGTGTATTGGACAAAAGCTTGACTCCAGCCCCATGGTCTAATCTAGTAGCCTCTAGCCATATGTGTGCTGAGCCCTGGAAATGTGGCTAAACTGCACTGAGAGGGCTGGAAACAACAGAGCAAATTTCAAAAACCAATATGAAATAAAGAATGTAGTATCTTTCATCAGTAAGTTTTTTAAATGATTACATGTGGAAATGATTACATGTTTTAAATGATTAAATGATTACATGCAAGTCATGCTTGCATACTGGGGTTAAATAAAATTTATTACAATTAAACTGATTCTTTCTAGCCTTTTAACTTAAAATTGCATGCGTGATTTGCACTATATTTCTATTTAGTAGCAGTGTTCATCTACACAATTATAGTTACTACAACCTACTCAGCATTTGTACTGTGTGCTGGGTAATTTTATATCAAATGTAATCTTCTGTGAGGTAGATATTGACAGATGAGGGAACTGAATGTTCTAAAGTTTTATTAATTATATATATTCATTGTTCAACATACATCTAGTACATTTTCTGTGCACCAAAGGCTGTTGTAGGCAGCAGGGATACAACAAAACCAAGTCCCTACTCTTGTGAAACTTATGTTCTAGTGGGAGAGACAGACAATAAACAAGAATAAAAATGATGTCAGGCAGTGACACTGAAGAAATGAAGGCTGTAAAGAGGCAGTGTGTCAAATTGGGACTGGGCTATTTTTAGATAACAAGGTCTAAGAAACAGAAACATGAATAGAAGCGGTGAGTCCTCTGAATATCTACCTGGACAAAGCTTCTGGGCAGAGGCAAAAAGTAAAGGATTGCGGGGTGTGTGTGTGTGCACTTTACACACTGGATGGGCACAGCAGGAGAGCCAGTGGTCTTGGAGAACTCACTGCTCACAAGGAGTAGGAGGAGGAATCCAGGAGCCAGTTCACATAGTGACTAGGAAGCTACCACAGCTAGGAAGTGTTCCAGGATGACTGGCTGCTTTCTGACACAGGACTGTGTCTGACAGAGGACTGTGGTGGTGCAGCCTGGTGACCCTGGCTTCAGGAGCTGCAGAGGAGACTTCCCTGTGGTGAGAAGTTCAGCAAGCTCCCGCTCCCTCGCTCTGCACTTTCCTGCCCTCAACTGCATGCAAGGACACTGCCATTCATTACTACTCTTGCTTTAATAAATTCCTTCCTTACCTACTACACTCTTCCAACCTGCTCAATAATTCCTTCTCCTTCAGAGTCAAGACCCCTCCCCCATCCAGGCTGATGTTTCACCTCCTGCACCGAGAGACCTCCCCAGATGCAGTGGTCTGGCAACAGTGCTTGCCTGGAACGGAGCAGGAGTGGAAGCTGGAGACTGGTGAGCAGGCTACTGTGGTAGTGTGAGATCTTAGGAGGTCTGTCTGACTCAGCCACTGGAGATTTGTTGTTCCTGCAATACAAAGTACAATAATCTAAAAGTTATCCAGAGAATTTGAACAGCAAAGGTCAAATGTCTGGACAATTCAACCCTCAAAATATATTTGGGAGTCTGTAGAGTTATCTAAACTGGCAGTCAAAAATCACTGTGTAACTTCATATGCTTGTAAGTTATCTTTATACCTTGCTTTTTGCCAACTTAACCTAAGGGAAATGGACTTGAGATCTGTAATTGACAGAGTGGGATTACAGGACTTTTAAGTCAAATTCAGATCAGGCAAATTAGCTTTATTTTTTGCCAAAGAAAAGTGGTTAGTTGAGCCAGATAACAATTTTGGAGTCTAAACTATTTGCATTGGCTCTGTCTACATTAAGAATTCCTCCTGTAATTGCTAATTCTGAATTTCAGCACAGCTGCATATAAAAGAGAGTTATAGAAAGAACTAGAAGCTGTGTCTTGGATACATGTATGTATTAGTCTGGATAACTCAGCTTAATGAGTGTTTTTATGGACACTTTAAAGTATGAAAGTACTTTAAAAAAAGAAAACATCTTCAAGGTCAAATGTTATTTAGGCCTGTCCCTCCTCCTCTGAGAGGTAAATGAAGGTTTAATATTGGGTACCTAGTTTCAAATGAAAACAAACAAAATTCAAGCCCAAGGACTACCAAAGGCATGTCATGATAAAAAGCAGGCTCAGTCCTGACCCTTCAGGTTGGCTTATTTGCTTTGATGGAACTCACTGGAAAATCGTTCAACTCCACGCTTCACTGTGCCTGTGTAGATGTGTTTTCTGGGCATTGGATATAGGTACTGTCAGTCAGGCTCTTTCCTGGAGCACTAAAACTTATGGATTACACACATCAAAGACAGGCTACAACCACTGTAGCTGAAATTTACACAAATCTGTGCTGCAAGTAACCGGATAAACAGTAAGGCTAATGACATTGTTCAGCGCTCATCTCCACATGGCCCTGTGGGTACTGCCCAGGCCTCGGGCGAGAAGGTTGTGGCTTTGGCTCCTAGCCTCAAACTAGGGATTAGGAGCTGGCCCTAATTCTGACAAAGCCCAGGGCCCTGCTCCTATAGCCCTGGAAGCCTGAGAAAACTAGGGTGACTGCCCATCTTAAGATGTGCATTTACCAAAGATTCAAGAACACCTCTACTATCATATCAAATGAGGAAACAGATTTATAAAAATAAGAACTCTTTAAGCCATGCCTTCCCCTTTAGAGAGTTTATTTTCTCCAACACAGTGACCCCAGTTTTCCTTGAGTATTTTGGGGGCCTCCTCTCTGCTCCCCAAAACAAGACAGAACCCTCAGTGCCTTGTTCTGTTCTCCTTTCCACCAAGAATGAATTTCAAAATGGTTGCATCTGTAAAGAAGAATGAAAAGGGCTAAAATTGACAGTGAACTTGATCAGCATTTACTTCAAATCTTGGACATTTGGGGAAAGATGTTAAAAAAGTCACAAAAAAATGTTAAAAATTAAAGTGTGTCTTAAGTGCCCACCCCCTCCATTGCTGTGGAGTCCCTTCAACACTCTTTGCAAAGTCTGAGTGTTGCTTTTAGCAGGAGGCAGTCAAAAGATATGGAGCATCTCAGGAGGATTCTGTACTTGGGCAGCCTTGGGCCGCAGTAAGAGGAGATGGGAACACTGAAAACTACCCCCTACTTCTGCTTTCATCACTGCACAGGTCACACTGAAAGGTTTATACTGGGAGGGGGAGCCAAGGAAATGATCCATTGGTAGGGTTACTTTAGGTTAGAAAGGATCCTGCATGAAGCACACTTGGCTAAATGTCCTAGGTGCCACACATGTGATACTCCTGTCAGTAGCTTTCCCACACCCAGTCCTAGCCATACTCGTTATGGCCTTGTTGGCTTGAGATGTCTCAGTCTGAGGTATGCCATTACATTCTATTCTGAAACATAAAATCTGGTGGGATTTACACCATCCCAAGATACACCTCTTATATACCTTTCTAGTCAATCCCCATGTTCTTATTGCTGTTACTGTTTCAAGTGTTTTATCCATATACTGTAGTGCCCCCTTATCCATGGGGCATTTGCTCCAAGACCCTCAGTGGATCCCTGAAACCACAGATAGTACTGAACCCTATGTATAGTAAGTTTTTTCCTATACATACTTAGAGCTATAATAAAGCTGAATTTATAAATTAGACACAGTAAGAGATTAAAAACAGTAATAACAAAATAGAACAATCATAACATACTGTAATAAAAATTATATGAATATGGTCTTTCTCTCAAAAAATCTTACTGTACTATACTCACCCTTCTTCCTGTGATGATGTGAGATGATAAAATGCCTACATGATGGGATGAAGTGAGGTGAATGATGTAGGCTCTGAGATGTAGTGTTAGGCTGCTGTTGACCTTCTGAGGACACCCGAAGAGGACCATTTGCTTCTGAACCAAGGTTGACTCCAGGTAACTAAAACTGAGGGAAGTGAAGTGGCAGATAAGGGAGGACTACTTGTATACATTACCCCTTTCACTGGCCATCACACTACTAAGGCTGTTCTCAGAGCTACTGTGAACTGTGTAAAATGCCACAAAGAATTATTCTATTTTTAGAGTTATTTTTCTAATCCATTTATCAATTTACTAAGAGTTCATCGTAAGTATGAGGCAGAGTTAAGGCAGTCTCTCTCTCCCTGGAATGTTCTTTCTCTCATCACAGTAGTTCTGGGAGTAACAAACGCTAAGGTGATTTTGGTGCCCTTGTTTAACATGACTGTTGCACATGTGGAGATGGCCACAGCAGTGGATGTGGGAGTGTGAAACCATCCTCATTTGCTCCTGTGTTAGAGCTTCCTACTGTTTTAAAAGTTTTTGTTTTGCAACTTACAGGATCTTTGCTTCATGGATTAAATAATACCTTACGTTTATACATATGTTCACAAGCATTATCTCACTGAATTCCTACAACAATCTTGTCAAATACACTATTATTACAGGCTATTATTACACCCATTTTGCAGACAGGAAATTAAGTCTAGGAGAGGTTAAATGGTTTGCCTGAGGCCACCATACCATGAGAGGGAGTGACAGAGCCCACCAGCATCCAGGATTTCTGACTCACTGCACTATACTTTATCAAGGAGGTCTCTTTGTATTTGTTCCTTCTGAAACAACAAAATACTGGTCAAGAAATGTATTCAAAAGGGGCCCTACAGTTTTTTAACTTTATGGCTAAGTCACCTGTGGAAAAGATTTTCAAAGTGCAACAATAGGAGGATTTCAAATCATAGAGATCAAACAGTGAGTGCTTTGATAATATGAACACTGATTTTCCAGAATCTGACTTCTGAGGAAGAAAAATATGTGATGCACCATACCGTGTGTAGAAAAAGAAGTGCGAGGCACAATGAACATGTGCACGTGTTGTGTCAACGTTCTTTTCCCAAATGTGGCCACAGAAGAAAGTGTGAAGCATACTGAAATAAGACAATATTTATGGCTGAAGAAATTCAGCTTCACATAACAGTAATTATGAACAAGATATTTTCCCTAATAAAATTACTGCAAAACAATTTCTGGAGAAACTAAGTGTTTCCCCATGTCTTCCTTATTTTCTTCCATGTGCTCAAGAATGGTTGCGGGAAAGAAAGGGAGCAGAAGAAAGAAAATCCTAGCTAGATGGCCTCTGCTGACGGTTGGTTTTGCTTTAGAAGCTGGAATGTGTCCAGGCTTGATTTTTATTTTCAATTCACATTTCAGATCCAGCTCCCCAAACTCTTTGATCTTTCTCCCTGTCTTCTTACCCGGAAGAGAACCCTTGGCCTTCTCAGCTGGGAGCTGGGAGCACACGTGGAAAAACTGGCTCGGATCCATATTCTTGCCAAATTTAGTCACACAAAGGGGCTTGCAGGGGAAGAAAGACGGGATGAAAGCAGCAGCCGCCGGGACTTCAAAGGCCGCGCCGCCGCGCGGGTCCCTGCGCAAGCGCCGCCCTCCGCGGATATAAGGCGCGGCTCGCGCCCGCCCGCCGGCCTCTGAGCGGCCGCCCGCGCGTCCCCGGCCTGGGGCGGGTGAAGGGTCCCGGTGGCGGAGAGGGGGCCGAGGGGCGGGCTGCGCGCGGCCCCCGGTTGCCCCGGGCCGGTCCCCACGCTGAGTCCAGGCGCCCTAAGAAAGTTTTCAGAGAGGGAGAATAAATTGCCGTCCAGACCACGAGGCGAGCAGCCTGCCATCGCACATGTATTTCAGTCCCCGCATCCACCCCACTCCCTTCCGGAGAACCCCTTCCAGATGTAAAGCCCGCGCCGCTGTGCTGGGCCCAGGGGCTCGTCGCGGGCTCCTCCGAGCCCGCCTCTCGTCCCCGTCCGCGACCACCTCTGCTCGACTCCTCTCCCTCCAGACGGAGTCGGGACTTCAGCTGAGCCTCCGCCAGCCGCTGGCGTCGGTCGGCTGGGCGAGCCCCCGACAGCCGGTTGGGATGCGGGGGCGCCTCCCTCGCGGGCGGTGGGAAGACCGCCCCCGCAGGGGCCCTCGCTTCCTCCCGCCTCCCTGCGGACGAGACGCGGGCGCGGGAGAAGCCCCGCGAGGGCCCGGGGGCCCCGGGCGCAGGTCCCGCGGGGCTGCGGGGAGCTGCGCCGCCAACAGGCACCGGCCGCGCGGAAGCCTGGCGTCCGCAGGAGGCCGAATTTGGGGACATTTTCACGGTCCCACGAGTTCTTTATAACTCCGGCGGGTGGGGGGTTGAGTTTGTTTTAGGAGGAGGCTAGCAGAGGCGGAAGAACCCCTGGGACACAAACTGCCATTTCCCTCGAACCCCCGCCCTTCTCCCTTTCCGCGAAGTCCGTTAAACTGGAGATGCCCACAGCTCACAGCTCTTAGTCTCCCGATGAAGCTGGGGTGGGGAACACCGGGGCTGCCGGAATTCTGTCGCTGGACAATCACTTTATTCGTTTTTCTCGTCCTTCACCGTCGCTTCTCTCTCCGAGCACCCTCTTCTGTAGGCCCCTGCCACCTCCTTCCTTTGGGATTCCCACGAAAGTTGTAGCCGGGAGAGTCCAGGCCACACAAAGGGGAAGCCCCGAAGCCCGGGCGGGGCCTAGGACCGAGGGGCCGAGAGGGCTCTGGGGGCACCGCGCTCTTCCCGCCCCTCCGTAATTAAGGACTCACTGGAGTGTCTGTAGTTGGCTCGACTTGGAAGCAAAATCGCCGGGGGAGGGAGGGTGGTGTCTCTGGTATGGATGGGGGTCTTTCTAGTCCTCTGCCCGCTTCCGCGGCGGGCGGGGCCCCGGCCCCTCCGCCGGCTGCCTGGCCCGTCCCGGTTGCCCCCGTCTCTGTCCCGGCGCGGCATCGGCGCCTCGCCCCCCACGGGCAGCGCCGGCTACGGCGCCCCGCGCAGAAGGAAGTGTTGATGTAAAACAAGGCACCGTTCGCTCCCAAGCTGAACCCAAACCAACCCAAACCACCAAAAGGGGAAAAACCAGCAGCAATCCAGCCGGCCCCTAGCAATTATTTCATGGTCGGAATTAAATCACATTAAAACGCCCCCTGAAACCCACATCCTGAGGGAGTGAACCTGTAACAGCCAGCCTCTAGTCGCCCGCTCGAGTTCACACAAACAACCTGCCTTAACATCCGAGGGAAAGGGACGGCGGGCGGCGGCGTTTGTCCCGCGCCGCTCTCACCACTTCCCGGACCTTGCAAGCAGAGGCGGCTGCATGTGTTAACAGCACCCCCGACTCAAATTAGAAGAGACACCTCGGCGACAGGAATGCCTTTGCTTGGAACTTCACTGAACTGTGGGTTCATCGACCTCTAGGAGGAAAATCTTCCCAAGGTTACTAGCCTCCATCCCGCGCCCAGAGAGACAGACTTCACGTGGAGATGTCAGCCTCCCACCCAAAGCTTTAAAAAACTTAGGCGAATGCTTTCTAGTAAAGCCCCTATTAAGTGCAGCCCATCACAAGATGTGCAACAATACTAAGAACCATCAGCCAATGCCTTTATCCCACGGGGAGAACATACAGCCATGCAAATAGAGCCAGGCGCTTGGTGATTTCGTTAGAAACAATTGTTTATGAAGGAGAGGGTTACCGCAAAATACCAAACGCAGCCACCTATCCTCGGCTTTTCTGGTAAACAGTTCCCACTAGTTATTGTTCCAAATATTCTCACCTTCTCGAGCTCCTAATCTCCAGGACACTTGGAGGGGAGTTCCAAAAGACTCAGGGAGTCCAGATAATTAACATGAAGGAGAAAATGAGATTCGAATTTGTTGCAACACTTAAATGGAGGTGCATGGGGGGTAATGTACATAGGCGTTTTCATTGAATCTCACTTTGGCTATCAGAAAATACTCTCTGGCCATTCTGTGTATCCTCTCCCCTTTCTTGACAGTTTGAGGAAAAGGGACATCTACTCTTGGTTGTTTTGGTGAAATTGCATTTTCCAGTTATTTTCCTCTCGTCAGAGTAGCGCGTTTATGGGAGGACTTTTGACTTCGTTTTCCCAGATTTCTTTTAGAACAGAGGGTATGTCTGACATAGATACATGATCACATCTCTAGGACATTGCACTCACACTGGTGGCCAACTTAAAGGGAAGATGAATACAGCACCAAACAAAAAATAAATTGAGTTTCTTTCCAACCTTTTCAGTATTGCTCCACAAACACATTACAGGAGAATATTGTTTTTCTTGTCTAAGGTATAGCATCTTCAGCTATTTGAAGTGGATTTTAGTTTTACTCTTCCTGTCTCCCATCACTGGCCCCTTAATTTTACCCCATCTCCCAGAGAGAATTTAAATGTGACTATTGATCAGGCTGTTTGTGACCAGTTGGAAACCCTTTAAATGATAGTTTTAAAAACTGTTTCCTAGTAAATTCCCATCAGTAGGAAGTAATCAGTAGGTGAAATTTTAAGTGCTTATTTAGTGCATTGCTAAGGTTTTTACTTATATAATGCCCAGCCGCAAGCAATTTCCCTCTTGGGAAAAGGAAATACATCTTTGCACGACTATTTCTATATAAAAGAGCTTAAGTCAGATTTTGTACTGTTTTCCTTATTTTCAATATAAGGGAGATGGAGACACATTTCTTCCTGTCCCTTATTTGTTGTTCTGAGATTTTACAGATGGTTACTCTACTGGGCATAATAATTGTGCCTGGATTTTTAACTGAGGGGGTTTGAAAACCAAGGAACAAAATCTAATGTGTTTTCAAACTTCAGCTTCGCTTATGACTTTGACAAAACATCTTAAAAGTCCTTCCTTGTACAAAATGCATCAAAGAGACGGTGGAAACTGGGGAATTTCTGAGGTTGGATTCGGATTTGCTTCGTCAAGGGTCTCTTTGAGCGTGCAGTTCAAGGTGCCAGAGACCGCCCAGTCCACCCTCTACTGGCTTCGGTCCTCTGGGTTTTTTGCCTTCTCTTTCTGCTCCTTTTGGGTTGTTTTTTTTTTCTCTTCATTCTCTACGAGATTCCCACACATTGTGGCGCGTATCTCCGAAAACCCACGAGACATGTAGCGCAACTCTGTAATCCCCACAATAAGAATATAGTTAAAGAGATCTTGTTTAAAAAGTGATAAGATCCAGTGTTGTTTTTTCTTCCATGTCACACAGCTTGGAAATTTTATTTTTTGCTAGCATATGCTCACATATCCTTTGACATTATATTTAGAAAAGCCACAAACTCTCTTCCTTGTCCCTCTTGCTTCCGTTCCCTCACATTAGTGAGCAATGTCTGTTGTATTTTCCCCTTCTCTCTGTCCCGGATTCCCGCCTCATCCCCTCTGTCAGAGCATCTATCATCGTGGTGTCGATCACAGCTGCAGCGGCTTCTCTTTCATCTTCGTTCCCCCGCCAGAGCGAGGGAGGGAGAGGGAGGCGGAAAGGAGGTGGGAGAGGGACTGGTAGAGGAAAGGGGGGAGAGACGAGGGAAGACAGACTTAGAAGAAGCTAAACCGCGTGTGCAGTTTCTTGTCAATTTCACGGGGTGGGGGGGTGCGGAGGCCAAGCGTGCTCCTCCGTGGGTTCCAGGAAGCTCGGGGT